TTTTGACATTTACATAATTTACATATCTGTAATGTAATACATAACATCTATACAATATTTTCTTTATATAGTATCCTATATACCTGATGTTCAGTCATTCAGTGTATCTTTGGTCACTTCCTTGAGAGTAATGTACAATATTACACTCCTAACCTTTTCTGGAAGAACTTTAGACTGGAGGACAACTGATCAATGTTATAGAACACCAGGTACATCATAAAACAATGCCCTTTTTACCACACCTACTTTTTGGATGCTTCAGAGCTCTACTCATCAGATAGACGAGACTCTTAAAGTGGGTGTTGCTAGTTATTAAAGGTTATTGATGATTCTCTTATTAGAAAAGATTTTTGTTTATTTATTAATTATTTTATTGATGTTTATTTGTTTTTTAGAAAAGAGGTCACAGTGAAGTATTTGAGGAGAGGTTCAGTGGGCAGTTATTGGATGAAATCATGTCATGGCTGTGAACACAGGTGCTTATTGTTCACCATTTTACATGTACATGTATTACTTTTACATGTACACATACATGCATGTATGAATAAATTTTCCATTGCTTTGTTCTATTTATTTTTTCTCATTCTTAATTCTTTATCTTCCTTTCTTTCTCTCTCCCTCTCCTCTTTTTGCTCCTCTCTCTTCTCCTCCTCTAAAGGTTCGAGAAGCAGCAAGGTTTTATGTCACTCCAGCTCTCAGTAGTTCAGTCTAAGAACCATACTGAGAGTCTCTAGGAGTTTGTACAAGGTGACATACTTGAGGGGGACAACAGGCACCTTTGTGGAGAGTTTCAAGAGAAGGTACATGATTCAAATATCAAAATAATAATAATAATAATAATAATAATAATAATAATAATAATAATAATAATATTTTTGTCTTTTAATCCTTTACTTAGTAAGCACCTTTTAGAATGAAATCATCATCATTTTGTTTTATTCTTTACATGCTTAATGACATTTGTAACTGCTAAAATTGCCAATGTAAGACCCGCCAACAGGAGGTTATTAAATCTCCTAATTTAATGACCTCCAAATGAGGCAATGTTTCCAGCTGTAAAACTTATTTATAGCATTTACATCTTTTTAATATTTTTGATATGAGTGTGAAATATAACTATAGTACTTACATGTTCATGTATATCTTTTTAATTAAATGATTGTTTTTTTATTTGTTAGAGGGACACTTTAAAGAGTACATGCATCAAGACTCCTCCTCTACGCTCAAGAGGTTTACGACTATGTTTGAGAGACTAACAGAGAAATTAAATTCAATAATTATTTTGAGGTAATGAAGTGGATGGGCATATAAGGGTAAAATTGCCATTGAAATGAAAATTACTTGCCCACATAATAATGTTTCAGGGAATTACAGTTGAACAATTTTAATGCAACAATCATCCCTAATTTAAGAAAGTTTGAGCTGATTCTGATTATAAAGTTTTGAGTTGTGACCTTCCTGTACTATATAGCTTACATGTAATTTCCACACATTGGCTAAAAAATCACACCCAATTTATATTGCACAATTTCTAATATACATGTATTTTTTGTCCTAATGGCTGTATTTAATAATAAATTGATAATATACACATGTATATATGCTACATATGATAATAATTTTGAGTGGATTCTAACAAGTCTCAGTAACAAGTAATGAATATCATTATAGTCCAACCCACGATAGCCTTGTAACGTTGCATGCATTTATAAAGAGATCAGGTTTGAAGAACTGGACCAGATTCGTATTTCACTTGGAGTAAAATTTTTGAATGGGCAATTCACTGCAATTGCCCTGCTCTAATAGAATAATAACTTCATTAATCACATTATTATTTATATATATAATAATTTTAATTAATTAATTAAATACACTAAAAATTGGTACACTAATCACGCTCTTTTCAATGATGATGTAAAAGATGATGAATTTAAAGTTGATCTGATTCAGGCAGAAGTTTTTAAGTTACAGCCATTCCAAGAAATTATAGTAACATACATTAATAATAATTTAGTATATTGTAATGCACTGTATGCCATGTCTAATAGCATTTCCAGCTATATGTTACCAGGGTTTCTGACTAGAGTCCCTGTACTATAGTGTAGCGTCCTTGGTCAAATTTTGCCAAGAATGACTAGGAGAAAAATCTTCATATGTTCTTATGTTGTGTAGCAAGTGTGAAGTGATTCTGATCAAAATTGGATTTTTAATGAATTTTTAAATTTGCTCAAAAATTGGGCCAACATCACTATACTATAGTACAGGGTCCTTGACCAAATTTTATCAAAAATTACTAGGAGAGAATTCTCTCTTTTTATAATTTTTCCTGATGCATGTACATGTTCTTATGTTGTGTGGAAGTTTCAAATTTGGATTTTTTAAAGAATTTTTAAAGTTATTTAAAATGCACACATGATAGATATATTTTTGTCCTTGTGGCTATATTAATAATAAATAATTATTAAGGAATATTATGCTGCATAACGGTATTGCAATAGATTCCAACAACATGTTACAAGCCTCAGTAACAAGTAATGAATATCATTATTGTCCAACCCACTAGAGCTGTGCATGTAACATTGCATGCATTTATAAGAGATCCAGCTAAGGACAGCTTTAGGTTAGAAAGTTTTTGTTGAAGCAAATAGCTAAAGTTTTTGAATGGGCAGTTCACAGCATCAGTTGGTGAGGAGGGCAGTGGACCACTACAATTCAATACTCCTGATTGTATAGCCTTTTCACCTATAACAAGACAGGTTTATATTTCTGATAGTAATAATCATCATATACAAGACTTGAATCCTGATCTAACCTTCTCTCATTCATTTGGTAGTAAAGGATCAGCTAATGGACGGTTTCAGTCCCCACGTGACATCGCTATTGACAATCAAGGGACTAGTGTATGTTGATGATAGGAATAATCATCACATTCAGACATTTTCTCCAGATGGAAAGTTTTTGCGTCAGTTTAGTACTAAAGGATCTGCTCTTGGACAGCTTAATGAGCCAAGAGCTATAGCAATAGACACAGCTACTGGTCTAGTGTATGCTAGTGAATGGGGCAATCATTGTGTATTAGTCTTTACTAGTGATGGTGTGTTTGTTAGTAAATTTGGAAGTAAAGGTGATCGGTTTAATTGTCCTTATGCATTAGCAGTTGTTAAAGATGGAATATTGTATGTTTGTGATATTGATAATGGTCGTCTTGTAGTTTTTTAGATTAATTTTATTAACTTTAATTTTAAGATAATTTCATTTAGTCATCAACTGGTGCATGCATGGTAGGATAATACTTGCTGTTTGTGATCCCTTACTGCAGCAGTTGATCCCATGCATACTAGCAGATTATGAAGCAGATATTGCTTCAAGGGGTTAGAATTTGTGCATTTGAGAACTATGAAACCCAACCATCACATGATATACATGCTCAATGGCACATGGCCACAGATTCGCCAAATTAGAATCATCAAAAAGTTAGCAATTGCCAACATTTGGTTTCTTTGCCATGCAGGTGGCAGCAGCAGCACATTTTAACTTGTTCTAAGCTTATACATCTGTTCTTCTTTTGCAACAACTTTAGTTGCCATTTACAAGATCAAACCAAGTAGCCATAAATCAGTGTAAATGCTATTGTACAATGCTGATTTTACAAATAATGGAATAACAGAATTTGAAAAGTATTGCTATGGGAAAAAAAATGTTATCTTTATGTATCATAATTTCTTTAGTCACAAGATCTATGAATATATTTAAGGTATCGCCCACTTTTTGTGTCTAGCTGACCTTCTTTAGTCTTTCTCT